AAAGGTGCGTATGAGAATGGCAGATCTATGAAGTTTATTCAACAGAAATACTAAGTTGATGAGATGCAATGGAAAAATATGGCACGTGTGGGTACGACGTACTTCCGTTAGTTGTATAAATGCGCGATGTATAATGTGTTCAGACGTGTCATCAAAGTCAGTTCCATAATTATTATAAAAATTCGCAACCGAACAAGTCCTGAAAACATTAAATTGTTATACCTATAAATTCGAGTAAAGTTCAGTGATGCAAATCGCTTTCAAATTGAAATATAAACATAAATCAAGCTTATTTCTCGAATCAAACCGGAAATGTCGCTTCTTATATTGATGAGGACTCCTTACTAAAATCTTCAAGGTTATTTCTTCTTCGTTACAGTAATCCCGCTAACTAGACTTATTGTCGCCGATGAAATAACGATCTCGTGCAGAATTTTGCTCGTTAGCGCAACTCGGATACGTGCGAGGGGAGCAATCAAATACGGAATATTAAATACGATATTCGATGTGTTCAGTAACGAACTACTATTGTCATAGATATTAATATCGGTGCAGCGTCGGATATTGACGGAATAGAATGTTCTGCAAGTGCAGTGAATTGGCAGTGTGAGGCTAATAGATACCTGATATATAGGGCTTCTCGTGCGATGCAAGGTGTTGGATATGATTAATTTCGTGGATTTAGATAACTATGGAAACTGGATTTGGGTATCATAAGAGTGATGCATTCAACTCCAACTTATGAAAAAATCTTTCACTTATAAAAAAGACTAAGAATTATTTGATATAAAGTTTCTAACCTATTAAGTTTGAATAATTTTTCACTTACATAGTTATCGTATTTTGCGAATTATGCAACTTATATGAACAAAACCAATTCATGATAAGATTTGTATTTAATAGAAAGGTGGATATTTTACAACGGAAGCTTTGCAAAAAAACTGGGTGGAAAATATTTTCAACGATCATTACATTATAGATGCAGGCTCTTGGAAAAGTAATCGCTCGGTTAATCGTCAGCAAACATGCGTATTTGAACTCGAGCAAAAAATTTACTTGAACTTTTGTAAATATTGAATTTTTTTCAATTTCAGGTGGTGAATTTGTTTCTTTTAGTGTCCTTCACTTCAATTTTGGGATTATTATTAATATATATTAATTTTTATTACTATTATAACAGAAATTTCATAAGATAAAGACCGTTTCAAATCTCCTAGATTATCTTAACCGAGCGACGACGAGAGCGGCTGCTAGAAATTTATGATTTATGAAGATGCTTGAAATTCTTCCAAGACGCACTGTATTTATAACAACATTAAATGACTGCGGAATATTAATGATTTCCTTGAGAAAATAATTTCTTACTAGCAATATTTCCGTGACAATCAAGGCGGCATATCAGAGCACCCTTCTGGGTAAATCATTTTAGTTATTCAAAGAAAATTTGGGTTAGTCATTTCCAGGTAGAAATGATATTCACGTGACCATCAATGATAACGATGTCCATGTGTCCATCAATGATAATGATGTCCATGTGTCCATCAATGATAATGATGTCCATGTGTCCATCAATGATAATATGCTGACGCTTGTAGAGCAGAAGTCCAATGTTTCCAATTTTTTCGATCACCGTAAGATATTTTTGAGTCCTCCTTCGAGATAAGATCAGACATCCTTTCGAACGAGGGGTTTCTTGATGCGTGGCAGCGGCACTGACGTAATGCATAGTTTATCGGGAATCAACTGGAACGAAAGAAGTGACCAATCTTCCGGTAATCTCACTTTCCGGTAATCTCAACATAATGAGTAATCTTCCCGCGTACCACTCTTTTAAAATAACCTTATTTTATCCGTTCTCATTCAAGGTAAACTTATCTATCCACTCTCCTTTGAGATAACCCAATATTTATCCGTTTTCTTTCAAGATATCCCTATTTTTATATTTTCTTTTCATAGACAACCCTTTTTTCATCCGTTCTCTTCTAGGAAAACTCTTTTTTATCCGTTCTCTTTTAAGATAGCCATATTTTTATCCTTTCTCTTCTAAGATAACCCTTTTTTATCCGTTCTCATGTAATATAACACTATTTAGCCGTTTTTTAAGATAACCCTATATTTAAATCTTCTCCTCTGAGATAACCAAATTTTTATCCGTTCTATTTAATGAATCTTTTTTTATACGTTTTTTAAGAGAACTCAATTTTTATCCGTTCTCTTTCAAGATAACGTATAGCTTTCTAAGAACCAGAACGACATAGCCTTGCAAAAAATTACTGATTGGTAACGGAAACTTTGAGAAAAATTTTTTTTCACTCGGATCTTCAATGTTCAAGAGCGTATAGTGAAGGAGAACATTGATCATACATGTTATAAATTATGTTGCTAAATTACCATCAATTATTCGGAACCACTTAAAACAAAATGCTTTATAAGATTATAATTTTAAGAAATTGGTTCTCTATGAAAAGATTGTTCTTAACTAATAATTTGTTCTTTGTGAAAAATTTGTTCATTAGGAAGTATTTGTTTTTTTTTATGAAAAATTTATTGTTTAAATATAATTAGTGCTTTATTGGAAATTTTCTTTGTAAAGAATTCATTGTTCGTAAAGAAATTATCCATCATTAAGAATTATTGCTACTGTACGAAGCCGAGAAAATGACTCCGTGGCAGCAAGGCTTTGGTGATAAAATATCTTGGGTGAACAGACAGCGGATTTTCCCAGCTTAGTTATCAGATTTAATTTAAATGTCCTTAAAAAGCAGTAATAATTAAGAGTTTCAAATTAGCTTCGTTTCTGAGGCTTTCATCGATGAAAAATTTTCTGACGTTTGGCTTCGGAAAATCAACTTTTATGAAAGCCTTTGACTATGAAAGTGCTTTTTAGCAAGTAGTTTATCTTGTCCCAGTATTTACCGAGCAGTTTCAGATTTTTCTCATCGGCAATGATAAACGCAATCGCTCTCTCGCCGCGCCCTCCTCTGCAATTCATTTCTGAAAAGCTTGAAAAATTCCCAGTAATTGGAAAAATGCGCGGTGAAGTTCATCGGGATTTCCGTTCCGTTGCGTAACTCGAAAGGAAAAGAATTGAAGGCATTACACTGGATTAAGTGACGGCCGTGATACAGAGTGAGGATCAATTGCAGCACTGAACACATTGTGTTCTCTGTGTATCTGTGTTCTTTGTAGTTTTGTTGCGTTCCGTGATCTCGGTATTGTGTTTTCTCTGTATTACGTGTTCTTTGTGTTATCTGGATTCTTTGTGATCCTCATTTTCTAGTTTCTCCATTTTCTAGTTTTTGTGTTTACTGCATTTCCTATATTTTCTGTGTTCTCCGTGATCTCTGTATCATTTTTGTTATATGAACAAAAAACTGAACAATGTCGCGTTCTCGGTAGGACTAAAAAGTTCAGTCTTGCAGCACAGGCATACCGCATTACCAATGCTGCATGTGTTCTGCATTGGGTGCCTCAAACGACTCTAAACGTTCAAACTTAATTGCTAATTAGTGCTGGAATTTTGATGAAACTTGACCGTTGTACGTAGATTTTTTAGCGAGTACTTAAATTACAAATTTTTACTGACTTTTGACGCTTGGTTCTGAAAGATATTTTAAATTGAACCAAAGGATTCAATGAGTTCCACGTGTTGGGGTATAGTGTTAGGGACCGCCTTTAAATAAAATAATTTCATCGATAAGTAGGTTACTTGTTTTGTCATTTTTGTTTTTGAGTTAACTATTACGTGACCCCTTGTATACCCGCCTGTATCTTGTCATTGTTATGTGATCCACCACAGAGGTTAGTGCTTGCATTGTTTATCGTGTTCATCTTCAGTGTTGATATAGTGGTGGCCTTTCTCGTGATATTGTGTATTTTTATATTGTTTATGTGTGTTATATTCATTTGTTAGGTTGCGTTAATTCAAGTCTTTAATTTGTATTTATTCTTGCTTTTCAGCGAGGCTCCGATCCTAGGACATGATAAGGAATTAATAGGCAAGGGCCAGAAAGGCACGCGGTTTATAGTTTTGTAATTTGTTTTCTTGTATTTATCGTTCTTTTGTTATTATAGTTCTTAACTTATCAGTTTTTATTCATCCTTTTTATTTGCGATCATTTGCCAAGTGTTTGGGGTTAGAGTATGCTTATTTTTTATTAGTCTCCAACAATAGACAAACAGTTTCTGTAATTGAATAAATGCCCAAATATCACAGCAATAAAAAGTGAATGAAAATCAGCGTTGATAGTGCACGTGTTGGGTTAGAGCCTAACGATGCGTTGCAGTGTGACAATGTGAGGGCAGAAATAATGAGACATTATGCTTCACTTCTCTTATAAAAGAAAGCACTACCTGCCTGCTGAAGCTAGCGATTCTGAATGAAAAAAAAATGTGTTCAACATCTAAAGAGAATTTATGATACGAGGAGAAGGAGAAAACGTTAATATCCGACAAATAAATTTCATAGCCCTTGAGTAAATTGTCTACTTGCCTACAAAATACATTGTCTATTTGTCTACTGAATAAATTGTCTACTTGCTATCGGAGAGAAAATTAAAAAGTTATTGCGGACGAATTTCCTGGGACGAGTAGGGATTATCTAAATAAGTTATGTAATACATCAACATATATTTAATAAACATCAGACTCCACTAACATCGCAATAAATATTGATATCATTACAACATCATTAGCTTACGTACGAAAAACAGATACCCCACCAATATAATTTTTAAATTCATTTTACATAAGAAACATCATCATGTTGCGATAACATTGACACAACTGCATATAAAACAATTGCTATCATCGAAACGAAAATTATCGTGCGAGATCATTGCATTATTTGCAGTAAATATATAAACTGACAATGAATAGAAACATTTTCAATGTGTTTAGAAATGCGCTGCCTAATAAATGATGATTTTTGTTCATAGATCTTATGAAAAAATTCACATACACTCGAGTCGATTATAAATTATATTCACTAGATTGCATTAGGAATGTATTCCATTCATTCATTAAAATGTTATAATTGTGGGCTGCGGTGGAGGGAGAATAGATTTCATATCAAATTTTTAGATAATTTTCTACAATTTCAAATAATTTTTTTTTTCAATCAAAATTTTTTCAGAAAATCATTCTATAACATAATAGAAATATGTAATTGTATTAACCCATTTTAGTAATATAATAAGATAATTTCTATATAATAATAATTCAGAAACGGACGGGAGACAGTAGTTAAAGAAAAGTTATTTCGTTCCTCGAAAAAAATATAAGTTACGCCACATCTTTTATTTGAGATGGAAAAAAACTTTTAGAGAGGTCCTTTTAGAATATATTACAGTTATTTAAGTATAAATAAATTCTTTTATTCTACGAAAACTTATACTCCAAGGAATTGTGGATGAAGAATGACTTCAAAATGGATGCAAAAAAATTTGCAATAATAAGAATAATGAAAACGTATTCAGTAGCTCACTATCTTTCACAGGTAAGCGGGCGACGCATCCCCAGCAGGAATGGGAGGTCAAACTCCAGCAATTCCCTCTCTGGGGAATAAAAATTCCTCTCAGGCTGAGAGTAGGGAACTCTGTAGCCAGACGTAGGCTGGGGGAACATAGCCCCACTGCCCCCAACTTGTAAACTTTCCCCTAAACTCTTCTTTCTCTCCAAAGAACAGAGCTTAATAGTCCCTTGATTTACGGGGAATGGAGCCCCAATAGAAGAGGATTCCAGGTTCAGGGAATGTCCCTGAATTTTTGGGTTGTTTTCGTCCAAAGGCAAAACGTGCAAGTCAAAGGCGGCTGGACATGGCAGCTCAGTCAGGCTGTACGGCGTGTTGTGATCTATGGGACCCTGCGAGAACAATAATAGCCTCCACTCAGAACAATGAATGGGTCATGTTGTGCAAAAATAAAAGCCTTTTCTTGCCCACAGCAAGAGAGAGCAAATGAAGCACTAGTGCGCCTCCTGTATGTCGTACCAAACTGGTCACGTATGCGTCGTGTATGGCATGAATGAATAGGTAATGTTTTATAAAATGCAACGCGTTTCTAGCAAGATTACGCATTGCTAGATACGCATTTTATATCGGGCCAAACTGGGTCAGGATGACCCATAAAAAGGCAAAAAGCCCATCGTCGCCATTTTAAAACGTCCCACTGATTTCTCGCCATGCTTGCTTCTCAGAATTATCGAAGATTTATAATCGTTCTACGACGCGAATTCCACATGCAATATTGGATTATGAGATTCATATTTATTGCTTTTCGATTTGAGATATTGGCACCTGCAAGATATATGATTGATGAACAAAAATTATGAACTGCGTTTGAAAATGAATGCAATCAGTCTAGGTCTTTGAATGGGTCTGGGTCTATGTGTGTGTCAGGGTCTATGAATGTGTCTGAGTCTATGAATGTGTCTGGGTCTATGAATGTGTCTGGGTCTATGAATGTATCTTGGTCTATGAATGTGTCTGGGTCTATGAATGTGTCTAGGTCTATGAAAAAATAAAATCCAAGCTAATATCTCCAAAACATAAAGTATCATTGCAAAATATAAAAGTAAAATATCATTGCATAGTATCATTGTAAAGTATCATTATGAAGTACCAATTTAGAGTACTGTTGTGAAATATTGTTATAAATATCGTCGTAAAGTATCATGAGATATCATTATAAGGTAGCATTCAAAAGTACAACAATAAAATATCATAGTAAAGTATTATTATAAAATAGCCTCATAAATATCATCAAAAAGTATCATTGTAAGGTATGAAGTAAACTATGACTCACGCTAGACACGGTAGCACCGCAAGCACGTGGAGGCTCCGAAGGCCATGGCTTCCAGAAGGCTCCGTTGGCCATGTGGAGTGTTAGACACTTCACGGTACACTTGTTGGCCATTTGGCTTGCAAATTTGTGTTATGACTCCATGAGAGATTCCATGCGAAGATTCACCATGCAAAGATTCACTGACTCCAGGATTCAGACTCTCCGATGTTGGCAGCGATTCAGCTTTTTTGCTGGCCATGCAATCTTCGGAGGTTGCGGGGCGCAAGCAAAGCTCGTGGCAAATTACCGACCACGTAGAAACCTTGCCAGTAGAAGGATTTGAAATATTTATTAGCTACGTGAAGGAATGAATAGAAAATATATATAATTATCATATATATAATGGAATAATGAAAAATTATTATAATATAGAATGGAAACTTATAGAATGTTCCTATCGACTCTTCGGAGGGTGGTGGCTGCAAGCAAAGCTATTGCATTTAACCGACCCAGGCAAAGATTACCAGAAGAAGGATATATAATCTAGTATATACATGTATAATATAGAGTATCTAGATATAGAATAAAGAGTATCTAGATACATAATCTTGAGTATCTAGAAATGGAATTTAGAGTATCTATTTATATAATCTAGATTCTAGAAAATCTAGATATATAATCTGGGGTAATCTACAGGACATTGAAAAGCTTAATCAACGATAAGATAATCATAATTTATAATAAATAAATTAATTGTTTGAGAAGTGACACGTGCCCTGGTGGCGCCTCTGTTCGCCCTGACGACGATAATCAATGATTTCATAATATATCATAATTTATTATTATTTAATATCATAATTTAACCNGTATCGACTCTTCGGAGGATGGTGGCTGCATTCAAAAGTATTGCATATCACCGACCCAGGCAAAGATTATCAGCAGAAGGATATGTAATATAGAGTATCTAGATATATAATCTTGAGTATCTAGATATAGGATATCAGATATCTAGATAAATAATTGAACAGGCAATATGTAAAATATAACATAGTACCGCAGAATATAGAACAATGAAAAGCTTAATCAATGATAAGATAATCATAATTTATGAGAGAGAAATGTATTGTTTGAGAAGTGACATGTGCCCTCGTGGCGCCTCTGTTCGCCCTGACGACGATAATCAATGATTTCAAAATATATCATAATTTATTAATATTTAATATCATAATTTAACCGAAAGAGAAATTTAATATTTCACAACTGACACGTGCCCTGGTGGCGCCTCTGTTCGCCCTGACGACGACCTCGACGACGGCGACGACGACGATGACGACGACAGCGGCGGCCACCGTCACGAACGCGCCGCTCAGGACGGGGATGTCCAGACGGGCGCTGCCGCCCCCCACGCCCGTCTGACGGGCGCTGCCGCCCCCCACGCCCGTCTGCGGCGGACCAGCGACATCAAGGTTAACTTATAAGATGACATATTTGTATTCATCAAAATCACTAGAATTCAACATCAAAATTCAATGATTGTGGCTCGATAGGTAATAATCTCGTATTATTATGTTATATGATCATTAAGATCCATTAAAATACATCATAATTGTATAGTTCTACAATTTTCATACGTAGAATTTGCCATGGTTTTATACAATTTCGATTAAAGTACGGATAATGCTCTTTATTATTGTACTTGTTCGCATTTTTCAATCCATTTTTTATTTTATCACAATCCTATATAGTTTTATTATTATAGGTTATTGACACACTTGTATTATGTATTTGAGCATTCCGATGGATTAGTTTAAATAAGAAAAGTGAGTTTGAACTTGAGCTTTTTTGTAGCCTAACTGTTATCTCATGCTAATATGTTATGTTAAACTTTGTTCTTCTACTATTTCACCAAGCCAAATTTATTTATTCAACTCGAAATTAACAAAAAAAACTATGTTCTCTTTTACTGATTACACAATTTTATTTTAATGAAGTAGTAACAATTAAGTATGCGTTCATGACGAACCGCAAGAGGTTCTTGGTTATAAGTTTTTAATAAAGTTACCTCAAAACATTTAAGAGGCTAAACGCAACTTATCAACAGTTCTAATTACTTTCTACACTCCAATATTCAGTAGATCTTGCGAAGTGCACACGCTTCAAAGATGAGCATATCTTACTTTAAGCTCGCTGATTAAAAGTATATTTTTTTATTTCAGGCATTGAGAGAGTAGCGGGTGGAAGTTCTCAATATTTCGTCTTCATTTTTCCATCGAATCGGATGAGCTACCATACAAATTTCAATCAGTAAATGATCCTCATGTGTTGAAGGAATTGCGCGCCTGTAAAGGTTTCTCCATCAAGGCAATTCGTAAAAATGATCAAGCGATGGGAATCCTAAAAATGGCCATGGAACGGGATTTGTAAAAATGGCCATGGAATGGGACTAGTAAAAATGACATGGAAATGGTTTCGTAAAAATTCCAAAGGCATGGGATTTGTAAAAATTGCCTTGGAATGGGATTCGTAATAAAGGTTATTGTATTGGTTTCATATAAATGGCCATGGGAAGGGATCAGGCCATTTGAGCGCCTGTCCCGGATTGATGTCATTACTGACTATTACGTCACCTTCTGTGACGTCACTACTCGTGGGTCACCGTGTATATAAGCTGAGAAAGCGCACTGTTAGTCAGTCGTAGGAGAGATGCAGTCTTAAGAGGGCAGTCGTAGCTCAGTCTTAGGCAGACAGCCTTCAGCTGCAATCATGCAGTTAACTCTAGACTCCGCCACTCGTACCAACGCGCAGTGTCGTTACACTCTATCTCCAAATCTACTGCACATACTGTGCTGTGATCCTGTAACTTCCATCTAGTGTATCCCGTGAATCATCTTCAATACTTACGCTTAGATACACGTCTTGTTATTTACCCTTCCTTGGCATATGAATATTTAATCTGTTATTCGGACAATTTATAAATGAACCAAAACCCCTCAGGTCTATCTACAATAAATTAGTAGATCAGACGGATCCATTCAAGGTTTTGACTGTCAACCTCAGACGGTGATATTTAGATCCGTGACACGCCAGTCCAATATGGCTAATGGCAATACGGCGACCATCGCTAGCCAGGATCGCTCGGGAAAGTCGTAAGAAAGTCAGATCGGAAGCTAAAAGCTGATAATTAAATATTTAATTGGAATTTCTCGGATTTATAACACGTGATTTGCTGAGTTACGGATTTAGTGATAGTGTTCACTCAGAAAAATGAACGCATCAAATTATTTGAAAATTACCCACTTTCTTGCTCTCTGCACGAGTTTCTGACAAACACAAAGGAAAATAGTGTATCGCTATGTAGACATAGTTTCACTCATTTCTCTCAGTGTCCGATTTATTGAAGACGTTAGTGAATTTATTTATGAGGAAGAAAACTTCTATGACTAAACTTTTAATAAGAATGAGTCAGCAGGATTTGTTGACGTTTGTGTTATATGCTTAAATTTCACTGAATATTTATTAATTGAACATTTCAAGACTTTAATTTTTCCATTAAAAGTAGATTAAAATTATGTACACTGAATTCATCATGAGATGATTTTTAGAGTAGACAATTAAATCTCATCACGATCAATATTAGCAATGGTTGAATTAATTGTAATGAAAATTGTAATAAATTTGACATACTCAAAAAGAGAGTTATTAGATGTTGAAGAGTAGAAATATCTTAATATATACATATATATAA